GTCAACCGGCTATTAGCTAGCAAACAACTGCTATAATATTAAACACGACCATTGAAATTTGTAGCCTTCCATTTTTTGTGATAAAGCCAAAGTAAAAGGACTGAAAATGTCAATTTATCGGAATATGAAATGTCGGGAATTTTAAAGTCAAGAATAAATATATCTCATTCACAAAAAATTCACCAATTTGTCACTGATACTTCTGTTTTACCAATTTGACTCAAGTTTTTTTTTTCAATTTGGCAATTTGGCCCAATATAGGGCCAGGGCTTGTAGTAGTGAAGTTAAAGTCAATCGAATGTGGGGAAATGGAATAAACTGTGTAGAAAAAGGTTGAATCTTGTGAATTTAAAGCAATTATATTTAGAGCCCGTTTGGTAACACGAAAATCGGCTGATTCGGCTGATTCTGTTGAAATTTATGAAGTTCTGGCTGAAGAGGCTGTCTTTGTTGATTTTGTTGATTTAAGAAGAAAATGTTTTTAAAAATATATTTTATTAATAAAATAAAGAAAAAATCATATGTAAAATAACTAAAATGATCATCTACAGTACCTTCAGCCAATACAACCAGAAAAGTAACTCCAACCTTACTTTCTCTTATTATTACACAATTCAGCACACAAAAACAAAAGTTACGTGTTTGGCGAAAATGTTGGCTGATAAGCCTCACAAGCCGAAAAACAGTGTTACCAAACGGCCTTTTAAAGACAAGGAGCTTATTTAAATGAAAACAAGTAAAAATGTACAAAAAGCTAAAATAATCATTTCCATTAAACTCAGGAATTGATTTATGGAACCTCATATTAATAGCTAATATTAATTAGGAATCTTCCTGTATTTTGGAAACTCATTATTATTATTATAAATACATCTCATTAGGGCAACCTGTGTCAATTATTCCCATGGTATCAAGAGCCTAACCAAAATTAAATCTCAATTTTTTTCCCACTGCTCTAATGTCTGACGCCGCCTTCTCTAGCGTCGATACTCCCATCTCCACTGCCGGTCCTTCGACCAATGTGGGAGTAGTTTTGGGTGAAGTTGGTGTGGACATTGGGCTAGGCAGATTGTGGGTAGACGAAGAAGTAGCAGGACTTTGGTTTGGAAGTGAGGTGTTGGCTGGAGAAGAGAGTGGAGGAATTATAGGAGATGTGTTCTTGGGCATGGTCAAAACAGGAGCTGGAGGAAGAGTATTGGGCAGACAAAAATCAGATGATGGAGTTACAGAAGGATCAGAAACATCAGACTCGAGAGGAGTACTGCTAAGAGTAGTAAACGGAAAATTGTCTTCTATAAAACGAACATGACGACTAATATAAATTCGACCAGACCTAGACTCAAGACAACGATATCCCTTATACCCAGATGCATAGCCAATAAAAACATAGTGAACAGAACGTGCTGAGAGCTTATTAGAAGAAGTGGCAGAAATATTCGGAAAACATGAGCAACCAAACACACGAAAAAAAGAGTAGTCTGGGGTTTTATGAAAAAGTTTTGCGTATGGTGATACACCGAAAAGAAGAGGAGTAGGTAATCGGTTAATAATATATGCAGCAGTGAGAAGTGCATCAACCCAAAAAGTGCTAGGAACAGAGGCTTCAAGAAGCATAGTCCGAGTTAATTCAAGTAAATGTTTATGTTTCCTTTCAGCAACCCCATTTTGTTGAGGAGTGTCAGGACAACACTTGTGAAAATAAATTCCATGAGTATTAAAAAATTACTGCATATTAGAATTAACAAATTCACCCCCTCCATCACTTTGAAATTTTTTAATTCTAGTAGTAAAAAGATTTTCAACTAGAGCCTTAAAATTTTTAAAGTGAGTAAAAATTTCATCTTTTCGATGCATTGGATATAGCCAAGTAAAGCGATAAAAATCATCTATAAACCACACATAATATTTAAATACTAAATTGGATAAAACAGGAGATTGCCAAACATCAGAATGAATAAGTTGAAGTGGTTCAGAACAGGAATGACTAGCATCTGAGAAAGGTAAACGTTGTGATTTGCCTAAACGGCAAGAAATACAATTATGAGAAAAACGAGAGCTACTACAAATGTGTTTTTGCTTATTTAAAGAATGTAAAATAGAGTCGCCACAATGGCCTAGTCTATGATACCACAAGACGCCTGGAACAGACACGGACGAGAGAGCAAGTGAAGATGGAGAACTGAGGCTGACAGGGTAAAGATGACCTTTACTGGGTGCTTGAAGAAGGACCGCTCCCGAAATTTTGTGCCTAACAAAAAAAGAATTTATATCAAAAATTACAACACAGTTGTTATTAGCGCAAAATTTCTGAATAGATAATAAATTAAATTTCAGTTGAGGTACATGATAAACAGATTTTAAAACAAGAGGGCGACTAGAGGAAGATAATGGAATATCACCAATATTAGCTATAGGTAATTGAGAACCATTAGCAACATTAACAGAATGTGATCCAGTATAAGGAAATTTATTTACTAAAATACCTTCCAATGGAGTCATATGGGCAGAAGCATCGGAATCCGGGAACCATAATGACGCATTAGCATCACTATTGGAGGTCATCAATGCATGGGCAGAGTTTTGACTAAACTGGGACAGACAATGCATATCAGAATGACCTGTGGAGAAACATATCTGACAAACAACAAGCGGTGGGACAGAACCAAAAATACCCTCAGATGATGAAAAGCCTGTAGTGCTAGAGTTAGTACCATAAATAAAATAGGGATTAGTATTTAAAGTGGACAAAGCAGATATACTAGCAGAACCTGAAGTGCCTGAAGAAGATGCAGAGTGAGGCAGACCGGGCTGGACCGGCGGACGAATCTGCTGCTGGCCTGCCTGGACCGGCAGTGCTGGACCGAACTGCTAGCCGAACTGCTGCAGCTGGCCGGCCTGATGCTGTGGGACCTGGTACTGTTGGCCGAACTGCTGGCCATAATTATGGCGTCCGCAACCTCTGCCTCGGCCGCGACCTCCCCTGCCGCGGCCTCCCCGACCTCGTGGAGCATACATCTTCTGGACCCAAGCCACGAAGAATAGACTCAAGCAACTCTTTGGCCGAAACTGGTAACGTGGGCTTGTAACTTTGTGGGGCATTAAGATTCAGTGTTTACAAATCATGTTAATATAATTGACAAAAAGGAAAATGTTCGCGAAATGGACACATGATATTGTAATGAAAAGTATATTAAAAGAGATCTTTTTTCAAATTGTTCAAACCATAATTTAAGATCATAATGTAGCAAGCTCACAAATGCTATTTAAGATCACATTTTTTTCAAAGAAATAATGAAGATAACAATAGAATACATAGATTCATAATAGATCAGACGGACATTAAAATGCATATAATATTAAACTAATATTCAACAAACCGTAAACAATGTATGTATAGCTATACCTTTACACAAACCTCGATCATTTCTTTTTTATAATTTATACTCAATATAAAATTGACAAGATCCAATGAAATGAGAATAATATAAAATAAAATTAGACTTAAATAAACTATACCGGGTCACTCCAATCTTGAAGCCTATTGATTTGGACTAGAATATTTAAATCTAGTTGAGAGTAGTGCAATATATCGAAGCCATTCCTGATTTAATATGAGTAGGTGTCATTGACTCATTGTGTTTTTTATGGATTTCAAATTATAGTGCTCTATGATTCATAACAGTACTATACGGTTGGCGCATTGTTGTTTGGTGTTCACTTACATAGTTATTATACATGGATTTGAAAGAAATAATCTTAATTTTTTTTACTAGCGTTAAATTCACAACTCTTCAACAAATGAGTATATTTATTGACAACATTATTAATTAGTAATAAAATAACTATATACAATAAAATTAATCACTACATCAATCGCATTTGATATAACAGTCGTAGTGATTCAAACCATAGTGACCGTGACCACAACATAAAATATGACCCCAACAATAAACAAATTATGACCCCAACAATTTAGGCACGCCCAAAAGTATCAATTCAAATTTAAAGAGAAAATGCCAATTATGATAGAGTTTTAGGATGTTTATAATAAATAAATTTGTTATTTAATCTATTTAAGTCTAGTTATTAATCTCATGAATATTTCTTGTGTGTATATTCTAATCACTAAAGTCTGGTCTAATAGACATGATTTAGTCTATATGGTATGATTTAATGTAATATAATCTGAGCTCATTTAGTTTGATCTATTTAAATTTGGTCTAGTTCAATCTAAAGGGGTCTGCAACCAGCTCTATTACAAACATAATGTATTAATATCATAGTTTAGTTTAGATGTTTTTAATTTGACATGAATATCAATGTGATATGATATTAATGGTTTGATATAATATCTGAGTATGATTTTTGAAGTCTGATCAGGGCTAACTTGGTCAGAACTAATATGATATGGTAAATGTGTGTTATACTAATTGTTTCAGTCCCTGATCAGATCAGACCATACCAGTTCAGACCAGACCAGATGTGAATAGTTATAAAAATACAAAAAGATCAATCATTATCAGATCAGACCAGTTCAAACCAGATCAGCAAATTACGGCCCAAGTAAAAACATCCTTAAATCTGACATAATCTAATCTTCTTTTTTTGAATGAAAACTAGCTAAATTAAAAACATCATTTAACCAAAAACATCCTTAAATATGAATAAACTTTATTTTATTTACCCTCACCCTCAATTAAATTAGCATGTCATTTCCTCGAGGATGGGCACATCCATTTTATAAATGATGAATTCATAAATAGTACGGGCAAACTTTCATTTCTTTCTCCGTGTCCCTCTGAGCACCAGTCCCATCAATTCTCTGTCTCCACAATCTCTGAACTCCTCCAGGACCTCAATAATATTAGCAATTAATTTTATTGGTATATTATTATTATCATTAAGAAATCTGATGAGACTAGGTGAACAGAATTTGGTTCTAAGAATTTAGAAATCTCTCCGAAAATCTTTGAGGTAAAGAACTATTGCTTTGGATAAAATACGTGTAATGCCAGCAACGGATGAAAGCTGAGATCTTTATGCGTTTTTTTTCTTTTTCTCATTTTCTTTATTGCTAGTTTTAGTTCTTGGGCGTTTTTATTTATTCTTCGTGCAAATCTAGATTTTGGGTTGCCGTTACAATTTTTGTTTTCCTTCATACGTTCTTCGTCTGTATTTTTTTTTTTTTTAATTTCAACAGAAAACTGATAAGTTTGAGGTTTTAGTGTCGGCCTTGCAGGTATCTTGGGATTTTTCGGGGTTTATGTTATTTTACAGTTTTTGGGTATTATCAAGATTTAGGCAATTGTATTGATCATTTTTTTGTGATATTTTTCTCTGCAATTTAGTCCAAAAAATGTGGAATTAAGTGAGTGACTGTTTTCTTTGGAGTTTTATGGTTTTTATTGGCGTTTCCTATGACTTTCTAGATTTGGGACTGTACGAGCAGATCTTGGAGATTTTCTTGTTAAATTTCTTTCTTATTTTTCAGATTCAGTGAAATTTGACTTTCATATTTTCCTGTGAGGGGAAAAAATATGGTTCTGTGTCATGTGCACCCAACAGAGGAGTTTTGATGGCTAGTGCCTAATCACCTATTTTCACTTTATATTTTTGTTCAAAAGGTTACCTTTTTCTTTCTGCTCTGTGTTGGACTCCACTTCAATTCTTTTTAATGTGGTTTCACATGTAAAGATTTGCTTTTTTGTTCAAATCGTAGATTCTAACTGTGCTAATCTTGGCCTATGAGTGCTGATTCTGATCTTTACGCTATTAATTGACTTTGTGCATGCATATTTATTTGTAGGAGATAAAGATCAAAGATACAGGCTCAGTTTGTGAATATGATGATGTTTGAGGAGATGGGGTTCTGTGGGGATCTCGATTTCTTCCCGACTCCAGTGAAGGCACCAGTTGCTCAGCCAAACGGATCCTTAGAGCCGGTTGTCGAGGACGATTACAGTGATGAAGAGATTGATGTGGATGAGCTGGAGAGGAGGATGTGGCGCGACAAGATGAAACTCAAGAGGCTGAAAGAGATGAACAAGAACAACGAAGGTGGCGGTGGCGGGGGTAGTGGACACTGTGAAGAACCGCCAGTCCCAAGAACAGGCGAGGAGGAAAAAGATGTCTCGGGCCCAGGACGGGATCTTGAAGTACATGCTGAAGATGATGGAAGTGTGTAAAGCTCAAGGATTTGTCTATGGGATAATCCCGGAGAAAGGGAAGCCAGTGAGTGGTGCCTCTGACAATCTCCGGGAATGGTGGAAGGATAAGGTGAGGTTTGACCGTAACGGTCCAGCTGCTATAGCGAAGTATCAAGCCGAAAATGCAATCCCCGGTCAGACCGAGGGGATTGAACCGGTTGGTCCGACACCTCACACGCTACAGGAGCTGCAGGACACCACACTCGGTTCGCTGTTATCAGCTTTGATGCAGCATTGTGAGCCCCCACAAAGGCGGTTTCCCTTGGAGAAGGGTGTCCCACCTCCGTGGTGGCCCACGGGGAATGAGGACTGGTGGCCTCAATTAGGTTTGCATAAAGAGAATGGTCCCCCACCTTACAAGAAGCCTCATGATCTGAAGAAGGCTTGGAAGGTTGGTGTTCTAACTGCCGTGATCAAACATATGCACCCCGACATTGCCAAGATCCGGAAGCTCGTCCGCCAGTCCAAGTGCTTGCAAGACAAAATGACTGCCAAGGAAAGTGCCACTTGGCTTTCCATTATTAACCAAGAGGAGTCCTTGGCCCGTGAGCTCTATCCTGACCGCTGCCCGCCCTTGTTGTCTTCACCGGGCAGTGGGGCGTTCACCTTGACCGACACTGGCGAGTACGATGTTGTCGATGACCAATCGAACATGGAGAATTTTCAAGACCAGAAACCAAATAATCTCCATGGTTTCTTAGATTTCTCAAGAAAGAGGAAGGCGGGCAATGACCCGCCTACCCTTATGGATCAAAACATCTATACGTGTGATGCCCTTCTCTGTCCCCGTAGCGAGATCCATCTCGGGTTTCCAGAGAGATCTGCCAGAGACAACCATCAACTATCTTGCCCTTTCCATTCTGCTCAATTCGGGGTGCCACAGTTCCATATTAACCAACAAGTCAAGCCTGGACCTGTTTACTCTCAACAGTTTGTTGAACCTAAAATCCCTGATCTTTCGGGTCTTGGTGTTCCTGAAGACGGGCAAAGGATGATCACCGATCTTATGTCATTTTATGACACAAACATTCAAGCTAAAGAGCAGCAAACTATTGAGCAAGCTGACAACAAGTTCCTCCAAAACCAAGGAGCCAATATGAAGGGAATGATGTATGAGGACTGTAACCGTCCAGACCAGATGGTTTCAACGGGTGATCGGCTTAACCATTGCGGTAAGTCTCTGAATGCTCCACCTGTTGGTTCATTCTTTAATAACAGCTGCCCAAATGAGACATTCCCATTCATGTTTGGCTCTCTATTCAATCCACAAGCCACCGACTATGCGGAAGCTTTACCCGGGATTGCTCGGGATGCCATGTTACCGAAGAAGGATGTCCCTATTTGGTATTAGCATATAAAGTCTGCAGCGCGCATGTGATTATATATTATATTTGGATCAATTTATTCATCATATTGTTGTCTCTGCCATGTTGTTGTACTGGTGAAACTTGAAAGGGCTATGATGCAAAAGTATTAGTACCATCTGTGCTCAGTACCAGTATCGTGTCTTTTGTTATGGCTATATGGATTTGGCCGGATGGTGCAGCCTTTGTTGTTTTATTGATGCAAATTATTATTAGTCCATTTTCTGGAATGGATGACAAATAATAATGCTTTGATATAAATTAAGTTTGTGCTGAGTTTTCAAATGGTGGTAGCATGTTTTGTTAGCAACTTATAATCCTTGCCTTTTTGCTAGTATTTGGTGATCCTGCCTTTGCGAGATATTTTTAGTTTCAAGAATTTACCGTTGACATTAAGAGCATTGAGATTAAGCTGCACAATTGACTATTATTGTATTACAGAAAAATGGTATTTAAAATATTTTTGTTAATAAAATAAAGAAAAAATCATTTGAAAATAATTGAATGACCATTCATATGAATTTCAGTTAATTCACTTAGAAAAATACTCTAAGTGAATTATCAAAATATGACTATTATTATGTTACTCTAAGTGGGATTTATTTATTTCGATTAGGGAAAGTTTAATTCCTAAAATAAGAATAAACATGTTTTAGAATTTTCAAAATATGACTATTATTATGTTACTGTCAAATAGTTTCGGTAGTAGACTAGTAGCTAGACATCAATATGAGAGTCTTTTTTGCAAGGAACATGAGAGTTTATTTTCATTAGTGGAAGTATTTTTAAATGCAACGATTCTTATTGGGGGATAAAAAACATAATAGTTTCCTTTTCATTATCACACGATCCAAATAAAAAATTCAAGAATTATACGTTTTTTAAAAATGTTGATTAATAAGCTTGATAAACTCAAAAAATGGGTTATCAAACGTGCATCAAGTCTCTAAACATTCGAGCGAGTCTTCATCTTTTGAATGTATGAACACCTATTTCTCAGTCTTTTTTTTAAGTTTGTGCTATATGTGTAAGGGAGTGTTTGCGATCGTTACGTATTTCAAGAGTGTGACAGTAAAAAAAAATTATAAAATCATTTATATACACAAGCCATTTTTAATATTTCATGTCATTTATGTCAGAAGTAACGTTATGCTATTGTTAATGAAAACATCGCACATCTCAGGGTGACCTCTCATAGCAAACTCCAATAACTTATGAATTATGATACTCTATCCCGCACGGCATTTTATGAAGAAACTGATTTCAACATAGATAAAAAAAAGTTTGCCTATATCATAGACATTTTAAAATTCTCGTTTAAATTTGTCTGTATCATAGACATTTTATGAAAAATTCTTGTTTAAAATGTCTGTAATACAAACATTTTTTTTTCTATGTGAAAATCGCTTTTTATAAAAAATCGGACAAATTGTCTGTATCACAAACATTTTATGAAAAAAATCTCGTTTAAAATGTCTATGATACAGACAATTTTTTGTCTGTGTGAAAATCGGATTTCTTCATAAAATGTTGGTCAAATTGTCTGTACTTAGACAATTTGACCGGCGTGTACAATACCATGTACACGAAGTGGGACTACGCTCCACTAGACTTTACAAACTTTTCATTTTTGTTTGTTTCAAAATAATTTACCACTTTACTTTTGAAGTAATTAATTTGTGGCTCTATTTATTTCTCTATCCTCTATTCCTCTTGCATAAACCTCAGCTGTATCAGACAATTGTTACTATTCTAATTTCACACCGAACATGATTTTGGCAAATTCACTATCTCATTTCCCCTTTTTGGAAATGAACACACTCAAAAAGAGCTATATCAAACCACTACGTTACAAAAAACTTTTTACTTTTTATAAAGTCTCCAATAATTATCTTAAACTACATGAAAAAGGAAATGGTACGAAGAATCATGTAACATTTATTTATTTATGTTTTTTTAATGATCTTTTATGTTGTCATTGGCAATAAAGACCGAGGAGTTGGGTAGATGATGGAGAGAGAGAAATAGGTTTAGATGCTCAAACTTATTTAGAAAATTACAATATCATCCTTACAATTTCTAAAAGTAAAATTCCTATCATTCTTTCTAAACAATTGCATTCCACATAAAATTTACTAGTATTAAACAATATTATATAGAAAAGGGCCAACATGATTCTGTGATCTTTAGCATCCTGAGATTTTAGCCATCAACTAATTACTCTCATCTTTTTTCTCAGTAAAACCAATTTAAGGCACAAAGATATAGACATATAGTGTCTCATAAAAATACACACTCATAAGTGGCAATTTAAACAATAAAGCTACAAAAATGGTCACTTCAAATATGCATATATACCCACAAATGTGCACACATTGACACATATATACACAGTCCCTTGGCTTTTTAAAGAAACACCTCTCTCTATGTTGGTTGTGAGTGAAAGGGTGTGACTTTTAGGATGTTTTCTTTTGGACTGAAATTTGCTGGTCTGGTCTGGTCTGGTCTGATCTGATTTGGTCTGGTCTGTTTAAGTCTGGTCTGGTCTGATCTGTTTTAGTCTGGTCTGATTTGGTCTGGTTTGGGACTGAAAACAGTCCAAGAAAAAACATCCTTAAACATAGACTTGAATAACACTCCTGTGTAAACGATCCTAGAATGATGCACTTTTGGCCGTTTTGGGTCATACAATTTTATGTTTCGTGCATTTTCGTATGTTCTACTCCGTATTTTGAAGTCAAAGACTACATATTCATTTGAAGTGAAATATATAGTCGCACATATTTGATTTCGTCTAAAGTCTATTCCAGTTTAGTTGATTGTTGTTTGGTGTTAAGTGTATTTTATTACTTTGTACTCCCGTATTATTTAATCCGGATTTGATGTTTTTATCTGGCCAATACATATAGAGAGGGTTTGTATATACTTCAACCTTTCGCTTTTGCTCCTTTAGGGAGAAAAAACAAATATTAGAGTACTTAAGTGAAAATGCATAACTACTTATGATGACTTCAAAATGCTCTTAGAATCGGTTTTTAGAGCTTGGGGAGACCAACGTCTCAAACTTGATTCTGATTTTACTTCTGCCTTCGAAATAGAAACAGAAACAGAATCAGCTCCAAACACGCCCAAATATATTACTACCTCTGTTTCATATTGGTTGTCATGTTTTAATTTCGCACGATTATTACTAAAGTGGTTGAAAAACAAAAGTTATGATTGAAGGGGGTGTATTGTATATGGATTGTTATGGACTTATTTTAATTCACGGACTTCTAAAAAAGTCCACAGACTTTTATTATGAATGACTTTTAAGTGAATGACTTTTAAAAAGTCTATGGATTTCTATCGATTTATATGGACTTTTATAAATCCATAGACTTTTATATGAATGAATCGGTAGACTTTTTTTTATCTGAAATCGGTAGACGTTAAAAATATAAAACTTACCGCAACAACTATATTAACTAGTTTTCTTCAATATGAAATAAGATCAATTACTAGCCTCGAAACAGAACATAGAAATAGAAATAGGGTAAATGGTTGTAAATGGGACTAAAAAGTAGGAGATATGCATCCGTAGGACTTCAATTATTTTTAAGCATAAATGGGACTAAATTGAAGTGATATCCCTATTCTACCCTTAATGAGCATACCATCGTTCTAATTTGGCCGACGAATTTCCAGCCACTATTCTTGCGCAACTGCAACGATCTACCACAAGTGAGGTTTACGAAGGCAGCGGACGAAGAACTCCATTGATAACGGTGAGATGGCGAGATGACTAAATATTTGTTGGAAAAGGTCATCTTCTTTCCTCTTCTAAGCACCTCTCTTATGTTTCATCTTTTCAAGGTGTTTCTAATTTGGCCGATTTCAAATTCCAAATTTCATATGAAGATGCCAGAAAAATGGCATTTTTACACTTCGCAAATTTCATATTTCCCTCTGAAAATGCCATTCATATGGCATTCTAAATTCATGGTGGCATTCTGATGAAAATATTGGCATATGTGACTCGATCGGTCAGATCTGCAACGGTGGTATCCGAATCTGCAACAGAGGAGGTCGGTTCTACAACGGCGGCGACCAAAACTTCAGGGGCGGTGGAAGACGACCGGTGCGGTCAAATCAGGCCAGATCCACGGAGATGGCAGTCAGATCTGCAAAGAAAACTACCAGATCTATAACAGTAGCGGCCATATCTTTAACAGCGACCAGTTCTACGGTGGTTGTGGCGGCCGGCGGCCGGCGGTGACCGGCGGCGGTCTGGGGTTTGTCGGCGGCAGTTGGATTTCGCAAGTTTCAGGGGTTTATCTGTCCAACTACATATAAGAACTCCTATTTGGGAAAATTTTAAACTTTACTCCTAATCTAGCAATTAAAGATGGATTTAGTCCTATTTAGGTAAATAACGGTATCACAATTTCTAAGCCTCACAATTAGCCTCACAGTCAATGTTCGAAGATTTGTATTGTGTATTTAAGGCGGTTTCTGAGCATTGCCTATTGTGTAAGTCTCATTACAGGCATTACACAATGAGGGGTAAGCCTCATTTTTTACAATTTATAGAAAAAATACAAATAGCCTAGCAAAAACTAAAATAAAATCATCATAAAAAGTAAACAAATGTCATAATCAAAACCAACAAAAATGATAGCATAAACGAAACTATTTTTGCCCACGTACCAACCTTACCAAACAAGTTTTATACATAGTATTTTGTTACAATACACTGTTTATAATTAACCAAAAAAAAGTAATATAAATTAATTATATTCACCCACTAAACTGTATTTGGATGACAACGTATCAGATTTATTCCACTAAACGTGTGAGAATTATACACGTATATACTGGGCTTGCATATAAAGTCATACACGAATAGAAAAGAAAGAAGACAAAAGGTCGATATCACACGCAGTAGAAATAGGGAAGATATCGAAAGCATATTTGGAACAGAAGGAAGAGAGTATGCGTGAAAACCCTATGTGCGAGACGTACGAGGGATGAAGAGGCGAGATAACCCAAGGGGGGAGAGTCTGCGTGAAATCTTACGGGGGAGCACGAGACAATCCAACGGAATTGGTATATATATGAGTTGTTCTAAAATCCATGGGAATCCACCATTTTAAAAATCCACAAGATTTGTTAATTTTTTGAATACATCCAGATTTTTATAGACTTTTAAAAGTTCTAATTGAATATCCCCAAACTTTGATAGACTTTTAAAAGTCTATATTCAATACACCTGGATTTTTAAAGTCCGTGAACTTCTAATATTTTGCCACTAAATCCCGATACAATACACCCCCGCGAGATTTGGGTAGAATAAAGTGAAATGATAAAGACCACATATTTGTTGCCAAATGAAGAACGAGTACTACATAATATGTTTACAATTGGTCTCGTCTTGTTTGA